TTTCAAATAATACAACCTTATTTATGAAAATCTGGGAAAAATGAATAATGCTTTATTTTTAAATTGCATCAGGTAAGCATATATCTATTACTAGAAGTCATTAAAACATAAACCATAACTGCCTCAGTAATGGCATACTTAGGGAAGGGGTAAGGCTGGCATAAGTAAAATACAAAACGGCTTATTAAAAACTGAGAATATACCTCATTTCCCTGGTTATATAACAGATAAAAATTACATTTAAAATAGGATCCTGTAATAAGAAAACTCAAAAAAAAAAAAAAAAAGGCAGAACAACAGAATATTGCAACCTATGTCTTTAAGAAATGTCACAAGAGTTCCTGGAACACTTGTCCTACACAGGACTGTCTCAACTGTGCAGTAGCTTTTATCTGCTAACTTTGAAGGCACTGATTCACTAGCATATTCTCAAGAACTAGGGGCAAACCAAGAGCTGCGTTTTAAAAGTAATTTAGAAACAGTTATGAGAAGTTCAAAAGTCCAGTGGCTGCCATTAAAAGAAAAAAAAAATCTTGCAAACTCACCTTGCACTACCCAACACACCAGAGCTGTTGATTGTTTCAATTTGGAGAAACTGTCTCAGCTGGCACTGTGTGGTAGCTGTTTCAAATATTAACAGAAAAGATTAAATGTGACCATTTAAAAACACAATATTGAAGTTATTGCATAGGAGTGGACTTTATATTTACTTTAATATACATAATATGCACAAAACCATGCCAATACAAGCTTTATGTTTACTTCAGCAGAAGCACTGTTAGATTCAGACCCTCAAACAGAGCACGAAACCATTTTAAGCTGATATTGAGAAAATGCTCTAGAAAGGGTCTTGATTTTTTTTTTTTCCTCTTTCAAGCTGAATGGTTAACACCTTTGGACCCTCTGAAAATTCTTGTGGTATTTTAAATAAAGCGATTCACTTGGAGACATAAAAAGCCTAGATTTGTTGGGTAACAGGTAGGACTTGGTCCACTGTGTTCCCAGTGTAAGCAGGAGAGAGGCGTTCTCTGACTAGCAGGAAGTCTTAGCTTTTCACTCGCTGCCGCCTTCCATATTTTGCCAGCAGGTGGCAAGATGACAGCAAAAGGGATAACGCGAAGTTCTTGTGATTCACACATTAGTAGCCAGCTGCCGCCCTCTGTTGTTAGCGGTGGAAGAAGTCGCAGCTCCTTAAACGCCGCGACTCCAGAAAATGGCACACTGCATTTTCTGAATTTGCAAAATGTTGAGAAGCTGCAAGTAATCAGGGTTCCACACAGCTCTACAAGCCAACTTGTAAAATAACTGACAAAGTAGGCAAAGGTTTTGTTTTGCAGTCTGTGTTGCAATTGCAGTTACATGGTACTCCATCTTCCTACACACGCTGATGAGTACTCAGAGCTACTTAGTTCTAGAAAAAACATCCTGAATAATGACCACAATAAAAAGGAGCAGACCATGGTTTTTATGATCTTTGTGAAGTCTAGCATACTTAAAGATAACCCGAAGTCTAAGCCAACATTCAAGATAAATAGAGAGGCACTGAAACCAACTCAATTACGCAAACGAAACACAGGGACAGGTAAATAGAAACATGGATGACAAAATAGAAGCTGAAATTCGAGTTGAAGAAAAAACACTTCTCAGAAGGTCATTGCTGAGCTTCTCTAATTCTAAATTTATTCCTAGATTGTGGAATTTGGCATGAAACTGACATCCATGAGGTGGGATGGGCTCCAGTTTTAAGTAAAACCCAAGAAAGGATTCATTAATTATGGAGGAGAAAAAAACCCTCTTGTTATTAGAAATTTTAAAGATATCTTCTATTAAGAATAATTTTGGGAACGTATTTCAACAAAAAAGTCTGTAATACAAAGCTTCTGGTCTAGAGGGCTATCTCTTCACCTATTCTTCCACTTCCCTGAACAACACAATGTATTGTACAAAAAAGAATAACTCAAAGGTCCTTACCAACATTGCTCTATAAGATACCACTAACTGAGGTCACACCCCCCCCCCCCCCAAAGCCTTTGAAACAAGTAAATTCTATTGTTTCTCAGATGCTTTTAGTAAATCTTACCTGCAACCAGGATGGAAAAACAAGGAAAGGGTGAATAGATGCACCTCCTTCTAAACAGATGCTGGAGAGCTACTGGTAATATCTTATTCTTTACTGAAGTGACATAGCATATTGAAAAACAACACTCTTAAGTAGTGACCCAGGTCTGATCTCACTTTACAAACCTGCAAGGTAGAAGTCAGTTGAGTTGCACTACTGTAATGTTGCAATCAGGTCTACAGTGACAAATTCCCTCAGTGCACGATGTACGGATGAGATTTAAACACCTACAAGAAAAGAAAGAGGATTCAGTAAAGAAAATCTGAAGAACCATTAAACTGAGTAACAATAAAAGGAGTGCCTAAACACAAGATTTATTATAACAAAGTCTTCTCACTACAATTCAAATAAGATGTTAAAGCTGGGCACATGTTTTTCTTCTTCCACTGCTGCCTCTTTAGAAACACTTTTCATGTCTGTGGTTCGGACTAGATGTAGTATCAAAAGTAACCAGCATGTAGAATATGAATGCAGCTAGCACTCCTCTTACTCCTTCAAACCATGATTTTTCCCACTATTTTAAAGGGCTGCTTGCAGTGCAATGCAGCAAACAATTTGCTGTGACAACAGCAAACAGCCATGCTTAATTCAGACATTGTCATTATATTATTTCATTTGAACCCTGTGAATCTGCTCCAATTCTTGGTCTAATCAGTATGAAATACTCTAATGATTTCAGGAAGTGCAGGTCTGTGCCCAGTGCTTTTCAGCTGTTTCTTCCTCACCCCACAAACAAACCTCAAAATAAGTAACCAGAGTAGTAGGTAGGGATGCAAAGCTGGATGTATTTTATGCTGATAAGATACAAATGATAAGTAAACCTTTCATGAAGGGAAAGGAGAGATGCTGTGTTTTGTGGAATAAACAGTGAGCCTTTCCACCACAAGGTTTTCTGCTTTAAGGCCATGTTAGCCCTGCAAGTACTACCACAGGGAGTTCAATACCAAAATAGTCAGGTTTCAAGCAAAATCAATCACCATAAGAAAATGAGTGTTTGCTTCTGTATGACAGAAAATAAAAGTCCACAGCAGTTTGCCATGTTCTCATGCAAGGGAGCCACACTCCAGAAATTACTTGTATGACCAGATTTTATTGGGAAGGTCATCATGAGATGAGGACTTGCCATCCTGTCCTGCTTGGACATGAATGTATCAGAATGCACCCAACTCTGCTTAAATAACATTGAAGTATTAGTCTAACTTGGTTTTCTAAACATTCACAAAACAGTGCAAAACACTTCATTTTGCAAAGTGATCTTAAGGTCCTTTCCAACCCTAACTATTCTATGAATCTATGATAGCTGAAAGTTTAGGCTTGTGGTTATGGCTCCCCCAGAATACTGTGTATGCATGAGTGGTGTTAGCTCCAGCTGAAGTCAAAAGGAACTGAGGACGTTCCTCTCCTTTCACAGCTGAGCTTGGTACTTTTGTAGAGAGCTCTGTAATGGTGGATGTGAAGATACAGACAGCATGTATGTAACTGGATACATAACAGCAAGATTTGAACCATATGCCACAACAGTGACATTTTAATCTTAAATCAGTATTAAGCTTAAAGATTCAGAATTATTCCAGTCTACAAGTGATTCATGGACAGGAAATGGCTTAGGACAGAAAAACAGACTGCTTGCATAAAAATGCACTGCAGCTCTAAAGCACACTCCATAATGAGAAAAAAGAAATGCTGCTTTCCTGTGGAAACATTGAGATTTAAAAGCACCAATATCCTTCTCTAAATATAATATTATAAATTAATTTTTTATAACCAAGGATGATATTCCAGAATGGCACATATATGATGTCCTGCTCCAACCTCACTGAACTGTATATCTTTCAAATTCATGATGAATGGAGACAACTGAAAAATTATTCCCACCACAAATATTCATTCATATTTGTGTCCCGATCTCTCAGGTCATAGCCATTTTTTATAGATACTCAGCACTCCTCTGATTTATCAGCAAGAGTGAAGAAACCAGGGAATTTTCTAAGTATAAAGAATTATTTGCAGATAATTTAAGAACCAAGCATTGATTGAGGAAACTTTAATCAAAAGAAATTAAGGTCATCAAGTCAGAGAACAGAAACACATCATGTGACCTAAACATCCAATCAAAAATATCAGCCCAGAATCTGAGGTGCAAACACAGGCAGTCAGTCACCTAACTCCAAAATATGTACCACAAACTATTTAATTAATGTACCTACAACTATTTAATTAATAGCTCTGAATAGTAAGCTGGAGAAAATGCTAAATTGTTCACAATGTGGGAAGAGAGGGAAAAGTTAAACTGCTTGCTCCAGTTGCAACTTTGCTATCTGAGAATCTTGCACACTGTTCTTTTTACTCTTCATTTGGCAGAATTTGGGGAATTCTAACTGCTCACTACAAATTCAGTAGTGTCTGTCTCAGTGAAAATGAAAGCTGCTGTTATAAACCATTAAAAGTTTGAGCCACACAATGCTGCAACAGACAAGGAATAGTTTCTCTCATGGTTACAATTCTGGTGTGTTCTCAGGGAAGGGTCCCATAGGCAGTTCAATCTCATCTGAACTGTTGCTGCTTCACCACGTATTTCTCCATCCCAAGCAACATAGTCTGCTCTAATGGAGAAGCACATCAGAGAAAATTAGCCAACAGAACAGTGACTAATCAGGCCCTAATCACACAAAGACAGGACCATTCAGTAATGACTACACTTAAACAGAATGGACTTCAGGAAAAATACTCCTGTAAGATCTGACAAAGCAGCAGCTAACTGGAAGCCAGAACTAGGTTAGAAAACATGGCTCTAATCCTGGCCTAATTATTTCAAAAAATCTGGATGAGGAAAAAGAAAGGAGAGAGGATTAAAAAAAAAAAAAAATAAAAAAAATTTGTACCTGTGGTGCGGAAACAGTATTAAAACAGGTAAGATCAACTGTTGTGAAGCAGCAAGGAATTAGAGTGCACTGGGTGAGGTACATCATCACACTGGGTCAGCACATGTAGGATCAACAAAATCTGATGATTCTGCTGTGGGGTACACTAATTTTGCTGGACATTGAGATATGTGGGGCAGTTTTGTGATGTGGCTGTGACAAGGAGGAGTTCCAGAGTTCCTCTTGGCATTTATTTGGTCTGCTGAATGTTTGCTGAGAAGAAGTTCAAAAGAAGGGATGTGTTTAACATCAAAATAAGTGTAAGAAGTAAAACAACAAATAAAATTAAACAACAAAGCTATATTCTCACACATAATTCTACGCAAATAAGATCATGGAAGCAACTTCAGGTCATACAGGACCTACTTCCACAGGTATTCAGACAGGGTTCAAAGTTTAATTTTTAGACAGCAACTTGAATTAGCTGTGCAGCAGAGAAGTCAGCACTGCTACATCAAGTGTGAACAATGAAGGGTCAAAAACGTCTAAAAAAGTAGCAATTTAATGCACTGAATGACAATCTTACATCCCACAGAATCATCATTGAACATATTTGAAATAGGTGTAACATACAAGCTCCTACTTTAGCTAGCCAGAAATGAAGAATTTCTTAGAAAACGCATATACTGTTATATGAACTCATCCTGGCCACTGACACCAATACCAAGACATGAAATTAATTACTGTTAGTCAAGGCATTCTGTTCAGGAATAATTAAAATCTCCTTTTAATATACATACATTTTGTTAACTTGTGGTGATGGCCATTTCCTTCTGAAGTGCAAGTATCAATAAGAAGCATCAAAGTTCTCTTTCAGATTTAACTTCCCTTCCTATTTATCTCCTTCACTCCCCTTCTCTTCCTTTCACTAAAAGGAAAAGCCCAAACCAGAAAATCCTGAAGAGGTAAGTTGCTTATAAGAAGAAAGCTCACTGTAGGAAAAAACATCCACATACTATTTCAGTTCTGTTGACTGTTTCAGTCACTGTTAAGAGCACTGTTCTGTAGACTGATCTGGAAAAAATGAGGTAAAAAGATGGAGTGGGAATCAGAATATTTAAATGCTCTTGACTACTGACACACTTTGCTAATAAATCTTGAGCAGGTCAGTTAACTTCGCTGTATTTCTAAAAGGATATATTAATTTTATCCATCTTTAACTAGTATTTTCATCTCATGCCTTCAAAGCCACTCCAAAGAGGACTATGCTCTTTTTTGTCACTGAGGCCAAAAGATCATCAGATAGAGGAGATTTGTGTGGCAGCATGTGATACTGTTCCCTAATTAAACCACTGGAACAAAGAACAGCCGTTAACATGGAATGATTCCAGATTCACACTGTTCATTTGTGCTTCCCCAAACACAGCAAGTTATGATTTAGGTTCATATACTTCACTAGCTCAATACAGAAAAGTCTGTCAATGCTGAGATTTAAAATACATATGCTTAAGATGTATGATTATACATATATATGGCTCATAAAATAATACGGATATTGCTTCCCCTCTTCCAAAGTTATCCAGTGCCTTTCATTAATGCACACGATGCACAATACTTACAGTGCTCTGGATTGACTCCAACTAGTGCCATCCCAGCAGTCTTCTTTCCATGGTCATGGGCCAATTCTTTAAAGCACGCCTCTGCTGATTGAGGACAGACATACATGAAGTATTCTCAAGAACACAGTATTAAATATATTCAGCCTTCATACAAAAATCAGTGAATTGTCATCTTATCTTGAAAACTTTCCATACCACAAGTTAGCTCAATTTTTACATTGTGAGGGAAAGCAACCATCCACGGATCCTTCAAGCCACTTGTATCGCTGCCTTGGACAGTACTTATTATTTCTCTTTGTGTAGCCAAGTCTTGAGTGTTCATAGTCACACTTCACCTCCCTCCATACGAGCTGGCTCCAATACCTGTAACACATTAGAAAAAGAGATTTCTCAGAATAAAAGTCCTCACTACTACTACTTTCACATCTATTGGAAAAAAAAAAAAAAATCAGGTTTCTAGCTTTTCCAGACCTATCCTGATGGCATCCCATCTGACTCAGGTAAGAGTTCCTGGACCGATAACACCACCAATTGTCCCATTAGTATTTAAGTTCAGTTTATCTTCATTTCTCAAAGTTCGTTGTCTCCAGGTGACTTCCGAATCACAAATATCCAATAGGTACACACTCAATTTCCTTTTACTTTGTTTGATACTCTGTTGCTTTATTTCAGTGTGCTAAAAAATAAAAGTCTTCTGAATGTACAGAGAAACATGCTTAGTGAAAACAGATAAAGTGTATTTCATTTGTCCCTTTTTATCCACTCATATCAGTTTCATTATCCACACTGTAAAGTAACACCTAAATATTAATCATCTTGCAAAGATGAGCCTCTCTTTTTCCTGTTGTGTTCCGAATGAAAGAGCAAGGAAAAAAAAAAAAAAAAGAGCTGATTTTATAACTAATGAACTTCTCTACATTACTCAGATATGGAGCATAAGATATACTACCCAAATTCCTTTTGAGGTGAGTAATAACTGATATATACTTTTCTCCAGTCAGTATCAACAATAAATTGATGTATCACTGTGTTTTAGAAAGTACCTTGGATATCAATTGTTTTGACCTATCTCCAAAGCTTTAAAATACAATGAATGAGTAATTATTTCTCTAAGTCACCAGTGCTTGTTGCTCAATAAATATCTGGGCTCAATTTCACACTGCAGAAAAAAAAAGCAACTACTTCTATGGCTTTGGCACAGCAGCACATTCAACAAAACTTTCCTAGCAGCAAACAAAATGAAAACATCTTGCTTGTGGAACTCCTTTCAGCCAGCACTTTAACAAGAGTCTCTAGATTATAATCAAACTTGTAACTGAAAGAATAAATGCTAACTCCCACTTATATGAAAAGGGGAAAGTAAAAAATCTTCTGCTGCTCACTGCCAGCTATATCAGATTCATATTCACAGTTAAATGTACTACAAAATAATTTAAAATCACTTCAACTGTTTACAATGCCAATCTAAACCAAAATGCTAGTATGCTAGAAAGCCAGATTTTAAAATGAGAAAAAAGTATAAGTGGATTTATATAAGAAGTTATAGGACAAGAGGTAATGGCCTCAAGCTGCACCAGGGGATGTTTAAACTGGATATTAGAAAAAATTTCTTCACAGAGAGGGTGGTCAGCACTGGAACAGGGTTCCCAAGGACCTGGTGGAATCACTGCCCCTGAAAGTGTTCACAAACCGTGCAGATGAGGCCCTTAGTGACATGGCTTAGTGGTGGACTTTGCAGTCATGGGGTAAAGGTTGGACTTGATCTTAAAGGTGTTTTCCCACCTAGTTCATTTCATGACCCTATGACTCTATAGACACAAAAATAGGACACTGAAGTTTTACTTTGTTCAGTGGTACAATTTGCAAATACTTGGAACCTCAGGTAACACTATTTTTAGAGTACTTGCCACAATTCTGTTGATAAAGGCTTTGGGTTCTGCATGACACACACACTCACTCTTAGTTTTAGCTCATTTTTCTTTTCTCCTGAGCAGTATCAAAGTCCTTGCTGCATGTTCACTGAGCACTCCCTGGCACTTAACTCCGAATAGGGTGAATTCTACTCTTGTTTCTACAGATGAGATCTGACCAAGCTCCACAATAGAATTTTCTTTGTGACCTTTCTTATCTTCTTTATCATATGAAGAATTTTTGTTTATAGTTATTTGCAAAGAATGAATGTCTTTATGCGAGTTTACTCATGCTGAAGTTCATCACCTCCCATATCTTACAAAATGGAAGAAGGAATAATTATGATGCTAGTGATCCACCAGAGAATGATGAATCACAATAACAGCATTCAGCAACTGATCAGCAATCCAAAGCCTGAATAACCTGTATGTTTTCCAAGTCTTAAAGCTTATAACTTAGAAACGTCACTGAAAATGCAAAGAGGACAATCCTTTTGTGACAGACAGAAATGCAATCCATGATACAAAGAGCTTACAAACCACTCATCAGTTGGCTTTGTGCTACAGGAATTCACAAGATGTAAAGCTTCACTTACTGTAATTATAAAATATTTTTCATTGCTATGCTAATAATATATTTGACAAGTTGCTTCCAAATACAGCTTTACATTGCCTTAGAAAAAATAATTCTTCTCCCTCCCCTGTTTTGAGTAACTGTGTGGTTCTGCATAGAACACAGACATTAATATATCTGTAGAAGACTGAGCTCACAAGACAAATGGCCATACACATTGATTTAAAAATATACCTCTAGATTTCAGGCTGCCATTATGTTAATGGTGAATGAAATAGAGAAAGTCTTGTAAGGAGTGGCTGAGGGAACTGGAGTTGTTTAGTCTGGTGAAAACAGGCTCAGGAGAGAACTTGTTGCTCTCTACAATAACCTGAAAGGAGGCTGTAGGGAGGTAGTTGTCTTTTCTCCCAAGTAAAAGAGAGAACAAAAGGAAATTGCCTGAAGTTGCTCCAGGGGAGTTTTAGATTGGATATTAGGAAAATTTTTGCACCAAAAGGGTTGTCAAGCATTAGAACAGGCTGCCCAAGGAAGTGGTTAAGACACTATCCCTGGAGGTACTTGAAAGATGTGTGGATATGGTATTTAGCAATGTGGTTTAGTGGTAGACTTGGCAATGTTAGGTTAATGGTTGGACTGAAGGATCTGAAAAGCCTTTTCTAACCTGAATGATTATATGATCATCTATTTAGAAAAAGGAACACAAAAAGAAGTTATCGTGCAGGTCACAGTAGTGAAGACAGGACTCCGTAATTCTGATCTCTGCTCTAATACTCAGCCTGGTGAATCATACTGAATCTCATAAAGAAACCAAACATACCTGTATGCAGTCTGCAAATAAATCAATTAATTTTAGGTGAGCATTCAACACAAAAGTCTCCCCTATTATTTTTCTTATGCATACAGGAATCATGCAAAGCTTCAAGTTTCCCTGGCAGTTCTGCCATTTAAAAACAACAAGCAAAAAAATGGGACACCCCCCACCCCCAGTGCAAACTATACAGCCAGTGATCCTCAGAGTTAAAGATCTACAGTTAGCCAATAGTGATGTAAACTCCTTACGCCAGATTATTAAAGTACAGAAGAAAGCAGAAATGCTCATAATCAAGATCTGATGTTTGCTTTTTCTTCTGAACACAAGCACAGTATTTGTGTTTGAGCACTGGCAGTAACAACTGTGAACTACGCTATTAATGTCTGATTTAAAAATGCTTGTGGAAGGATCCTGTCTGGAGGAACAACAACAACAAAAAAAAGTATTCAGACAAAACAAGTTAAAAGTGCATAAAAAAATTAAAAGCAGTGATTACAGAAGAAAACCATGTATTCTTCTCTCAAAGTTATTCACATATAACTTCTCTTAAGATGGATCCAAACACTGCCATTCTCAATTAAAATCCAAGTTTCTGAGAAGATGTATTTTTAAATATGCAAATCCTTGTTTTATTTAAAGGGAGAAAAATAGCTCAGTACCATTTTTGCTTATTTTCCTTGAACATCTTTAGGTTAAATAAAGGGATATTAAACAGACTGAGAAGTCCAGCTGCATTAAGGGCTTAATTTATTAACTTGGGTTTAAGAATTTACACTTTAAAATAGATCATAGAATTAGGGTTTCTCAATTTCAGTCAAGGATGCAATGAAAATTGCTGGCAGTTTAGAGCAGCAATTCCCACCAAAATTACACGAGGCATCCATTTGCTAAACAGTCTCCTAAAATCATCTCTGGCTCCAAATCAGCATCTGGAGGTGCATCCTTTTCACTGACTATCCATCGAATTTAGCTGCCTATTATAAGTGGCTAAAGTAGGACAATATTAATTTGTTTCCTTGACTGTTCCTACTGAGACATTCTGTAGTGTTCGCTAATGCTATGTAAAACCAGCCCTAGCAATTAGTCTTTTTGTTTGGTTTGTTTGTTTTGTTGGTTTTTTTTTTGTTTGGTTTTGGTTTTTTTTGGCAAGATATGCATATGGAAACATTCTGATGATTATCGCTACAAATTTTTAAGGGCATAGTCAACACAGCCAAAACAAAGACCTGGGGAGACCCATGATCCAGGTAGGCAGAAAATACCCATCCTGTCATCTTTTTTGCTGTGTGGGGGTTTCTGGCAGCCACTTCTGGCAAAGGATCCTGCCAAAATTTGTCTGTTGTTATCAGCCACATGGCTTCCACTGTTAGTTTTACCAAAAAGTCACAAGATGGCATCAAATGCCCCTTGAAAAGCAACTGCTCTAGTGGAAGTGTAATCAATTAAGGTAGGTTTTGTGGACATTTTTTCTGTTTGTGTTTTTTAAGGTTTTGGTTGTTTGGTTCCAACAGGATTACAGAATTTTAGCTTGAATGACTGTCCAGGTATTTTCAAACTCCCTGTAGGTGTAAGACCTAAACCAGAACTATCCTACGGAATTAACTCCTGCAGTATTAAACTTCACTGGTAGAACTTCACTCACAGTGAAGCTGTAACTCAAATTTAAAACAGGTCCTTATAAAAGGACTTTCTTGTTGTCTTTGCTCTTTACTTTCACGTATAACATTTTGGAATCCTAAACATGAAACCTATTTTAAAAACTGACAAGTTTCTTATTGCCCTATTGTAAATACAGCCTGTACAAATTTTCTTGCCCTTTCCTTAGTTATTCAATTTTGTGAAAAGTTTACTTTGTTTATAATGGAATGAAAGAAAATTATCTGCCTTCAGGTTCCTTTGCAGACCTGACGTATTAAAACACACCAGTTTAACACATATTTATTGAATACTTCAGATCTAGAAATAAGGAACACTACTGATTTTTGTTTGTCCATTATCTAAAGTTCTGATGAAAATTAAATCTCTTCCAGACAAAAAGTTTGCTTATTATTATATTTTAATGTA